AATAATAGTAATATCCTTCATTTACCTTACTATTTGCGTAATACAAAACATAATATAAAATACATATAAAAAAATTTTATATATAAAAAAAAACCGGGTGACCGTGTCAATTTTAAAATTTTATGTCACGAGAATCTAAAAATTTCTTTGCCCGGCCTAATGGTGTATTTGCAATAATAATTTGTATTATCATGTTTACCTTCGATTGTAAAAATTTTACTGGCAATCGAAACACTTTGAAACTGGCTCTAATTTATTAATTTTTAGTATATGAATTAATATTTACCCTCAATTGTGATATGGGCATTTGAATCTAGCTTCGCCGAGTATTTATTCAAATAATGTTAAATGATAATATTTTGGGTTATAATTTCCATCGTTATACTTACCTTCAAATGTAAAAATTTTATTGGCACTCTAAACTTTATTAAATAATGAAATAAAAATTAAAAATCAATAGTATCTGGGTTAAAGCTTAGAATGATTTATAATTAATATTTACCATCAAACGTGAAATCGTTATTGGCAATTGAATCTAGTTTTGCTTAAAATAAAATCATTTAATGAATTATAATATCTGTATTTTATTTTATCATTGGAAAATCATTCTAACGTGCTACCTTCTAATTCTTCTAAAGAAGAAGTTTTCTTAAAATCCGAAATCCGTTCTAATGCAAATTTTTTTATTAAAAAAAATAAAGAAAATTTTAAAACACGTTTCAGGCTCAACTTTCAAATAAAAAATACAAAATTTCTTTTTTATTCTTTATTTTTTGTATAGGTAAATATAATTTACCTTTATCGTCAGTCATTTTAAAAATTTTGTCATTTCATTTTTTAGCATTGTAACCCAATTGGTTAATTAATGTCCGAAATGATCATTTCGGATATTCATCATTCTGCAAATGCCCGTAAAGTTCTTTTTTAAATTTGCTAGTTTAACTAATTTGAAACAAAATATAAAATAAATAGTTTAATTTAATAAACTTAAATGTTTTAAAATGATCCATTTAGAATATCCAAAGTGGTCATTTGGGATATCATTTCAATATTTTGGATATTCCGAAAGAATTTTAATTGGGGTTCGTAGTAAATAAATATTAATTACTAATAACGATATAGTCGATTTACAAAAAATTAATAAGGTTGCATCTTCAAATGGATTTGATTTTGACGCAAAATTTACTTTAATAAATATAATCTAGAAAAATTTTTTTAAACTATTCTACTACATACGCGAAATTAATTTTTTAACTTTTTTTAAAAAAAAATAAAAAATAAAAAAGCTTCCTAAAAAAACTTTTGCGCAGACGATTTGTTTTAATTAATTAAGGAGACGGACTTAACATGGTCAGTATTTTTGAAGATTTTTTGCATAAAATGACACTTTTGTCATGGCCGGTATTTTGATTAGCAATTTTCAGCCCTGGTCATAATACAAAACAAAAAAACAATTTATTTGGCGCAGATCATCTTCGTTGATTGCATCTGTTGTTAAACAATACATATTATGCGAAAAATGGTAATTTTTTCAGCCCAGATCATATTTATATTTAGATAATTTTTTTTTTTTCTTAAGATCTTTTTTTTAATGTATACTAATTCGAAAATGGCAATAACGATAAATACTTTGCTCGCTCGTTTTAATTAAATATTTTGTTATTCATGAATTGGATAATTAAAGATTAAAGTAATTCAAGTTTTCGAAAATGAATTTTAATAATTATATATTTATTTTTGCAACTTTATCAATCATTTCATTTGCTATATTACCAATCCAATCACAAAATGTTTTCACATATGAAGACATACCAACTGTAAACGCCAGCGACCATATTTAAGATAGTTAGTTATGATGATAACACGATAGTCGTTCATATAATTCGTCCAGATTTATCATATCCTATTGAAAAAGATATACTTTGGGTCGATAAATACTTGTCAATTCGCACGATTTATCAAAATGGGAATGTTGTACCAGTAGATATTAAATTGGATATACAAGATTTTAACTTTTGTATTTTTGACAGTAATATAGGATTGTTGAACCCCATTCAAATTTTCCTATAAGAAGTAATTTTTTATTAGTAACTTATGCGAATGCCATAGACGAATCGGATCCTTTTAGTTATACTGATTGGGCAATGATTGTTGATTTAAATGGAAAATTTTACAGGTTTGAAAATCGTATTATATTAAATAAATAAAATTAAATCTTTAATGTATGTAAATAGTAAAAA